TTGTAAACATATGATCGTATTTTCATGATTTTGAATTTCTTGTACTAATTGAGATCGAATTAGATTCCATCGATAATCAGTTTTAAGAAATTTAGGTTGACATTTAGAATAAATCTCTGGTTGATCAGCATAACTAGGTACTAAAATATTGTATGATAAGATACGTACGGTCATACTTTCGTCGTAAAAGAAAATGTATCTTTTATTATAGAATGATTAGAAATAAGAGTTACACAGATTTGCAAATGCTATATATACAATAAAATGGTTAGAAGAAAAAACGGAAATGATGCACAAGAACGCGTGGTGCAAGACGTATGTGTACTTTGCCTTCTAATTTTCAACAGAATGGCACTGAATTTCGTCAATTCAGCGAAAAATGTTGAAATAACAGCAAAACATTTGTACAATGACTCATAATAGCAATCGGAGAATTTTTTTAGAGATTTATTCTTGCATTTGTAAACTAAAGGAAGCAATTGTGAAATACTATGATGTACATATGCTTGCTTCATTAGCTTCGAAGACTCAGGGTGTGGGTATTTCTTCTATTCTATTACACCCACACCCACATCCGATGAAATCGAAGCTTCCAGAGTACAATATCTGGCTGGTGCATTACAAAATAACAAGGTGAGTCTCATACTCCCATCATCTAACTCATATTCCGATCTTTACGTTTTCACATAGACACTCGTCACATTATATCTTCAGCACAATCATATCAAAGCTCTCGGAGCTAAATGTCTGGCTGAAGCATTACGAAGTAACACAGTGACTCTCTTTCTCGCTTCATCATTCCCACATAACCATCAACACCATTTCATGCAGACACTCACCACACTCATTCTCTCCTGGAACGAAATCGGTGCTCATGGTGCACAATATCTGGTTGATGCATTACTATGCAACACGGTGACCCTCATTCACTCTTCATATCTCTCATATATTGTTCTGTACTTTCTCACACAGACACTCAATACACTAGATCTTTACAACAATCAAATCGGCACTCTTGTAGCACAACATCTGGGTGATGCATTACGAAATAACACGGTAATCTTGATTCTCTCTTCATATCTCTCATATCGCTATCTGTACTTTTTCACACAGACTCTCACCATACTGGATCTGGGATACAATCTAACTAGAGGCAAACAGAAACTTTTTGTATAGGAACTAATTGAATGGAATAAACGACAGACGAAGCTATGAACATGGATTGCAAACATGGTCTAATGGAAAATTCAAAGGATGTGATGAATGTATGACTATCATTTTTTGAAGATTTTATTTGAAAATGAAAGTAAATTTTTCCAAGTTTGGTTTCATGATCGTGATGATGAGGGTGTGGGTGTGTCTGTGGATATCATCTCTTCGTCTACACTCGCACCCATATCCTGTTTTTCAATGAGATCAATTTCATCTTTGCGATGTGTGCGTAAAGCTAACAGTATAAATATATTATCCCTGTCGCTCTTGCTAACACAAGTTTTGCTTTGTATTATATTCGTTCTTGATACATTAAAAATAGAAAGAAATTTTATTTTCTTTTGATAATTTAACTGTTGGTCTTTGTTAAATATCTGCAATTTATAAAGAAATAATATTCAACTTTGTTTGTTCATATTGAGATATATTAATTGGAAAATCTGCTGATAAAATTTTATTAGAAATGAATTATTCAAATCTTGATAATAATAATTCATCGATTATTTATTTTACATATATTCATAACATTCTTTTTTTTTCACATCAATTTAAAAGACTCAGTAAAGTAAAAAAAATACTTTATTGAATTAATTATTGATTTGCATACGAATAGAACTTTTTAATAGAAATTTAATTTAGTACAAAATAAAAATTTTGAATAAGATTTTTAAGGATCTTCTAACATATTATATAACATTGTTTGATTTTTTTTGTCTATAAAAATGAGTAACCTTTATTGAATTACTTCATCAAGTAATAAAACAATTGTTGGTTTTATTTTTCTTTTGTTTATTTGATCTACAAAACATTTTCATAAAAGTTTACATATCGTTTTAAACGTTTGTTTTCGATTAATTCCATTCAAATTAATAACTTTTCGACACAATCAATTAAATGCATATGAGAAAACAAAACTGTTAATTGAAAAAATTAATTAGAGACTTTTTAATTTCAAATTTATTTTTTTTCATAAAAAAAGTTTTTTTTTGATGAAGAAAGTCAACTTTTTTAATGACAAATTGATTTTTCAATGCAGAAAAAACAATTTTTTTTGCAATAACAAGATGGACGAATACCAATATTATCGATACGAAATAGTATTGGTATTGTTAGAATCCTAGTTAATTCTCTCAGTAGATGACATATATTTAAAGGTACTCCTTTCGGATTTAGTAAATATTTTGTTAGCATAGTCTTTAATATTATATGCTATTACCTTCTATGAATTTAGAAAATCTTACTGCTATACTACAAACTATCAAGTCACCAATACTTTCCTCATGTTGAATTCTTAATTCGATATGAATAAACGATCACGTTGAGAAAAGATCAATTTGTTCATATCTACATGTCGTGTAAGTATAATATTAAACTCTTATTTATTCATTTGAAGATTATTATGAGAAATAAGAATTTTTGTTCATAACACGGTCGTACTTTCGATAAATGTTGCTGATAAAAGTCTAAATAAATGTTAATGATATTATTGAAGACAAAATAAAATGAATTAAAAAAAAAACAAAAATTAATCATTTTTGAGCTTGAGAAAATATATCATTGCAAAATGTTGATGGATGTTATATTATCATAATTATTTGGTAAATGGGTTAGATGAATTTCGGTCTAACGAATTTTCAGCCCGAATCCGAATTCTTCTCATTAATTTGTCTAAGAACCTTAAGTCCTATGATGAGTTTATATATAAATTCGTAGTGTTTAACGGTACGTATTTTCATTAACACCTAGCATTCAGAAGAACGACATACTACTTAGCATTATGTCATCTAGCTGAACAAAACTCTAAAATTGTATTTTGATCGAAATGCCTGCTACTAATAAGATATTATTTTTAGTGGAAATCAATACTGCTGAACTCTATGTTATGTTGCTAATTACTGTGTTTTCGTGCTAAGCAACATGCTATTTTGCAAGACACTACATTTTAATAAAAAGATATGACGCTAACCACTATGAACTATATCAATTTTTCATAGGATTCAGGATGTTTAGAGAAATTAATTATGATTAAAAAATAATTAGAACAGAAAAATAAGGAATAGGATCGACTAATAATGATTTACTCAAGGTAAAAACGTTAATCATCTTGGTTTTTGTAGTTGCTTTTTATCTATTAGTCAGTATGCTTTTATTAATGATTGCTATCATTTTCATTACCACATCGCGCTTGAACAAGATTTTTCCTGTTCATGTTCATCTTTATCAAAAGACAAATTTAATGAATTTGCTCTTGTTATAGATCTTCTTCTATGATTTGTATCTATTTTTTTAAATAGACGATGATATATTAAAACAATAGATGTGGTTATCGAATGTGTGTGTATTGGAGTCCTCGCTTCACTCACGCTCATACCCACACCCCTTTAAGGAATATATTCAAATAGTAAAAAGATCAATTCTTCGATTCAGTTACATATATTGTATTCGTGAATAAATGACAAACAACAGTATAATAAAAAAGAAAGTTGCTTAATTAAATATTAGAGAATCTACATATTTCAAGGATTATTTCAAGTTGAAGAAATCAATGTATATTGGAGGATTATATACCAATCTTTTCATGAAATGATATGCTTCCATGTTCAAGAAATTCAAGTGAGAGATTGAAAGGAAAATTTCAAAGATATTTGAATTAAGAGTGCAATAAAACAATATTTATCTTCGGTTTAAGTTTGGAAGTTCATTTTTTTTGTGAAGTATCGTTTCTAACTTATAGGATGAGGTGCAAGGTGAACGTTCTACAAATAGAAGTTTGTTTCAATCACATTATCTGCGATTTTCCGGCCATGGAGTTCCATCGATCGCTACTCGTTGGAGTATAAGAATGATTTCTTCGCTCATTCGAAGATACTCATTATTATCATCGGTCATGCTTTGACCGAGATCAAAGCAAATTTCGAGTAATTGAACAAAATATGAATGCATTAATTCATCATCAGTCTCAGTCCATTCCATTTGTATGAGCATGGCAGCATATAAATCGTTCTGTTTTCCATCACCAAAGACCAATGACCATTTATCAGTTACATTACATTCTTGCACGGGCGCTGTTTTACAAATGAATCGACCAAGTATCATCGGCCATGAAGTAAAAGATTTTGATTTAAGACAATAATGAAGTATTTCGACAAAGACACAAACAGTCCAATGTACATTTGCTTCGACTTGACGATGGTTCGATGTGCGAAGTGCCACTGTCAGTCCTCCTAATTGCAATAAATGATGAGTGACCAAATCGTTGATTGCAGCTTCCATTGCCACACTAAGCAAACCTTTCATTGATCGTAATTCTCTTTGACGTTTCTGTAGAAGTGCTGTAGTAAATAGCCATGGTAAACTTAGAATTGGTACTTGTTCCGATCCATTTTGTCCACTATAACATTCTTGATACAATGCAGCAGCTACGGCATTGTGCATTTTTTGGCATCCCCGACATAAGTCTTCGAAAGCTGTATTTCCATTACAGGTATTTTTATTGTCCGGACAGAAAGATACTAAGCGTAAGAAGAAAGCATCACGTGCACGTACAACGAGTTGTTCGAGTTGAGTATAAGCTGTGTCTTCAAGTTCCCCAACAGTAGTACTCGTTGATTTTCGACACCATAGATCACTTTCATGTGAAAGTCCATATAAATTTAGAATTTCAAGCATTTCTTGCCGATAGACATAAATTAATTGAGAGGCGATTGCTGATATTTCCTGATCTTGCCGGGATGGATTTGTATTAAGAAGAGACGAATCTAGCGCAATTATGTTTTTTTGACTATCGTCAGCATTTGCTTCTTGTTCTTGTTCTTCTTCATCATCTTCAGGAGTTCGAACTTGTAAATGACGTAAATGACGATGTCGTCGAAGAAGTCGATTCCATCCAGGTAACATTTGACGTGATGAATGATAGAGTTTTCCTACAAGTAGTTAAGAAATTTATAGAATATTCTTTTATCACAATACAAGATTTTGATTCATGAAAAATCTTACACATGAAAAATTTCAAGATTCTTGCGGTGTGTATTACACTTTGAATTTTCTTTTTTTCATTCTATTCTAAAAGAATTTTAAAATTTATATTTACCAAGTATTTTTTTCGATGGATACGATTTCATATTGGCATCTTCCATGAAATTGGGTCGTTCATCTCCCAATGCTTTTTTCTGTTTCATGATCTCATTGTCATTTAATGGATGTTGTCCAGTTTTTCCACTATCGACTTCTTCACTAATCTTTCCAGCTAGTTCGATTGTCGATAAAACATCTTCCTTCGGTCGTTCGTTACTGTCGACGCTATAACGATCGGCATATGCTAAATGTAAATTAGACAATCGTCCTATATAATCACTCTCAGCTATTTGCAAGACAACATGATTTATATCGTTCCGATTGACAGGTCCATCGGATTTTGGCAGTACTTTCTGTGAATCATAGTTATACGGTACGGCATTGGGAGTTTGAAGTGGAACAAGATCGTCATGCCATATCACTGCATATTCATCACCGTCAAGATCAGATCCACTAATTTGATGTGATGCTGGGCAATCACCTTGCTGAGAAAAGACAATGACATCTTTGAGATGTTTTAATTCTTTATGATTGACAGCAGTAAATGTTCGAATATCTCCCGGATGATAACAAGGATTTTTTGTGACAACAACCTTACAATTATGAAGAATTGATGTCTTTTCACTTTTGTTATTAGTGTCTTTATCTTCATGATCATTAAGTCGAGTGTATTGAATAAAAACTTCATCCGGTTTTAACACATTGTACTCATCTATAATACCAAACATATTTCGAGCTTTGTTGCGTGGAACACGAATACGTGTTCGTCGAAGTAATTCTCGTATTGAAGTAAGACAGGCCGCTATCAATAGTTGTCGAAAGAATGGTTCACGAACAAAATCAATTTTTGCACCATAGGGTAAAAACCAATAGGGTAATTTTTCGTCAAGTAAATTTCTGGCATCATTATTTCTTAATAGAGCTCGAATAAGAGTTAAATGGTTACGTTGTTGAAGAATAAGAAAGACAGCATCAGATATTCGTCGATAGGACAGAAGAAGAATACCTTGTCGATTAAGATAAAGCGATCGAGGTGCAGAAATTTTACATACTTCGAAACATCGATGTTCACTCTCGAATTTGCTCATACTATCACGAATACATAGATGATGACCTGATTCCAGTCGTGGATCAACGCTGACAACACCTTTAGCACCTGCATATCGAAACTGAACGGCACTGAAGGATCGCTTGCCAAGTTGTTTCTGAATCTGTAACAGAGAAAAATCAAGTTTTCAACACACACCTTCATACACTTACATCATCTCGTAATTTTTGTGACATAGTACCACATCCATCTGTGAATGCCAATTTTCCATCTTTTGTTTTGATGTCGGGGATGTAGCGAACATTTCTCTCATCTACCTAAACACAAGACGATCGAAACACTGATAATAATCCACAATATACTAATACAAAAAAAAGATTACATTAATAGTGGGAGTGGTTGTTGAAAAGCACAGAGCTATACGAGAAGCATACTTTGCTATGTTTCGTTCCTTGTCAAATTTTCCCATCCATTCATATGCTTTGTCAAATGATCGATTTAAGCCTGGTTCATGATGATAAAACCAAAATTGATTGGCACGTAATTGTGATTGTGAGTGATGTAAGTATCGATAATATCGATTATTATCCATAAGAGTAAAACCATTTTGCAAATAGTCAAGAAAAAGATCGCGTAAATCTCGAAAATGAAACGATTGGATTCGTCGACCATTTTCATCACGAATCTCGACAAGGGCAAAATGCTCCAATGCTTTGCCAAATTCTTGTTCCGCTCGTAGAACTCGATTTGTTCGACACAATTTCAGTGGTTTTATTCGAATGGTTGTCGGTGTTAATGTAACTGATGGTACATAAGTTTCTGTGTTGGTTTGTGAATCCAAACTATTGATCAAACCAAAAGTACTTTCTTCTCGTTTACGTTTTGATTCTATTACAGCATCACGTAATTTTTCCGATAAATTGACAAAAGGTTCAAGTGTAAATAGACGCGAAAGATAAACACACACACGATAAAATAGATCATCAGCATTCCTTGGTTCTCTACTTAATTGATATATATCATCACAAAATTGTTGATCCATTTGAATTTGTAAACGATAGCCGATATTCACAAGCATTTGCCATGAATATTTCATAATAAGCGTAGGTAATTTTAAAGTTGGAAACGAATCGACTTGTGAACCTTGACGTGAATCAATCATTCCATGACAAATGGCGATATTATGTGAAGTAAAAAAATTGGTCAACAATTTATACGTTTGTCGAACCGTATTTTGAGCCTTTTCGTTCGTTAAATGGTCTGGATCGATACGAACTTCAAATTGAACAGTCGGAAAATAGGGTCCATTACGAATGCTCAAACGTTTATCTTTTTCATAAGAAAATCTTTGCGGCAGTCGATCATCTGAAAATGCTGGGCGCATTGGACCTGGACGATGAGGAGGATTTTTTGGACGATACTGTCTTCTGACGACATTATTGAGTTTATCTTTTGCACTATATTCATTCATGTTACATGTCTGACAAATATACATTGCAAATCCATCTGGTAACAGATGAATGATGATGGTTTGATCAACATTAATTGCTAATAATTGTTTCTTTTTTCGTTCTCTAGGTTCTTCCATCACCCATTCAATGAATCCACCAAAACGATCATTGTTTATAAAGAGTGACCATCTAGTTTTCGGTTGGTTTGACCATGAATGTTCAGATGAATAGCAAAATTCATTGAGTTTAGTAAGTGCACCATAACGAAGAGAAACACGATAGGGTGGCGTATATCCATATCGAATCGGTTTAATGCGTTCAGAATTTGATTTGATACGTCGTTGTCGCTGCGTGCTATTTTTGAATTTGAGCCAAAAAGGAAAAGATCGGATCGTGGTAAGTCTGATTATATCGATCGGATGTGAACACTTCAGTTGAAAGCGTACGAATGATAGACCAAAATGCCATGAACGAGTCTGCTCATCATCATTCGTCATCGATCGAATACCTTGTCTTGATAAACGTCTTTGAAGTTCAGTTTTAATATCTTCGGCATGTATCTTGTGTACAATAAGTTTAACTTGTTCATAATCTTTCCATACCCACAATGCAGTATTTTGATGCATATTTTCAAGATTTGAGCTTGATGCAAAAGGTTTGTGTAAAGGTCGTGGTAAATTATTAACATCATTTAAAGCTTCATATTCGTCTTCAGTGTCATTTTCCGAATGATCATCTTCATCAAGAAAATCATTTTCATTGGCAATATCAATGGTTACAGAGTTTACTTCACGCAATTTATCCCATAAGGAAATAGTCTACAAGGGAAGAAATTATTGTGTCGCTTCAGTTCTATTCATATTAACTTACTGATGTGATTGAATCACGTCTCTGCCTGGTGACTTGTTGTTTGCGAAGTGCCATTTTGATAACGTATCTCCTCAACTACTGTTTAATGTTCCACTAGACAGAAACAAAGGAATTCTTTCACACAGAACAGTCTTCTTATGACACAATATTTAACCATTCAATAATCAATTTCGGTGAAAATAAAACGTGGCTTATATATATTAACGATAATAATATATAACTCGAGAGTGTGGACAAAAAGTCTTTGATAATATTATGCGATGTAAAAATGAGAGTTAAAACTACTTGAAAATATCACAAAGCGAAATAGAAATTAAGTTTAGGAAAGTGAAATCATTTCGAAGTTTAATAGAAATAACATAGGACCCATGTAATTTTAGGTTTATTAAATTCTTAGAAATTAGATTTGTTGATTTTAGTCTAACAGCGTAAAGAAATATTCAAGTGCTTAAGAGTATTAGTATCGGTTGCGTTAGATTCTAAATTGTGGAACAGGATGTAATCTGATACTTACATAAGAAATAACACTAAATAGTAATCTACACTTATTTGGTGGTTATTTTTTCTTTAAAGATGCAAAGTTTATATTTTTGCAAGTGCGAAGCAGCTTTGAATAAGCGTAGTAGTGATGTGGTTGTTCTGTCTGATATGCAATAGCAGTTGTTGACAATAAATATTGTTACGACGACGCGACGTCTTTCTTCTCACAAAGATTTTTTCCCATTCTCTTCTTCGTAGATTTCACTTATCTTAAGTCAACAAGAAAAGAGAAACTCAGAAGTAGCATATGTGTTTATCTTGGCAAATGACGAAAATGATAAGATTTCGTTCTTGTTCGTCTTTATCGAAACACGTATTTTGCACGCCGTATTCCTTAATTCTACCATAACAAGAATAAAAAGTGAAAAACAAAGAAAAATCTCATTAGTGTACGACTAATACGTATAGAGCAATGAATTCTATACATCTAACGAAGTTAGTTTTCGAATGATGCCTATGAAAAATATTGAATTCGATTATTTTCAATAAGAATATTATTATTAAATATTCTATGAAAAAGAGGTGTGGGTGTGGACATTAATCTTTCCTTAATTGCCACCACAGCCTACACCCACTTTACATCAGACTGCAATTAAATGAAATTATGAATAAAAATAATTATAATTGTATAGTGAAAAAATCACATCTAGCAGTCTTGGAACTTTATTGAATTGGTTATTACAAAAATGCAATTAAGAGAAACAGTGTACTTTTTATTTAGTGTTTATCAAATTCCAAGAAAAAGAGCAGCATCGTTTAATGGTCCAGTGCCTGAAATTAGAATCCAAAGACTAACAGTATACAGTGCACCAATCGTAGACGAAAATGTTTGACTGATATAATCAGCGTAGGTTGTACCTCCACCTACATAATAATAAGAACCTGATTGAGAACGAAATGTAAAACTAAGATAAGTAAAATTGGATGAATTTCCTTTAACTCCACCAGTCATTGATGAATTATCTTGGCTACAATAAGACCATCCTGTAAGATCACCCATTTCAAAACCACCATTAACAAGTAGTTCCGTACTTGGTGCTGTAAAACTTCGTACAGAAAGATTATCAAGTGCAAAGTAACCGTTGTTTCGACGAAAAGAAAATGCAATACGAGTCGAAGTTCCAATTGCTGTATATGTAGTAACATAGTTATAATAGAACAGCATAGTACTACAGTTGACACAATTAGCTATCATTTTAATACCACTCCAATTCACCGTGCATATATTTGATGTTATTGCTAATATTATATTCAAGTAAAAAATATTATTTATTTCAATATACTTACTAACAGTAGCCGCAGTAGTTGTAGTAGTAGTAGCTAAATATTTTGATATACATATAAAAGCTCATGATATATACAAAAGACTTACAAGTAGTAGATGCTGTTGTAGTGCTCGTTGTTGCTGGAATAAAAATTTATCCTACTTATATTTTAAAAGTACTTTCACTCACTTTTTGTACTAGTACTAGTTGAACTCGTTGTAGTACTACTACTGGATGAACTTGTTGTGCTAGTGCTGGTCGAAGTTGTTGTGCTAGTACTGGTCGAAGTTGTTGTGCTAGTGCTGGTCGAAGTTGTTGCACTAGTGCTGGTTGAACTTGTTAATGTGTTAGATGCTATATAAAGGAAAAACTATGAACGTGATATCTCCTAGTCATAATATTTTAGTTTATTAATATCAGTTCTATATACGTGTACTTATACTGCACGTTGTCGATGAGTGTGTGCTTGTTGTTGATACTATGCCTTATATATATATATATATATGATGAATTTATTTTTTGAGTGAAAAATATATGCTTATTTATGCTAGAAGTACTAATATTTGGATTGTAAGTTGTGAATGTTATTATTTGATCTTAAAGTTATTTTATCAATTATATTAAATGAAAAAAGCAAGTTCTAGTGGAAAAATAAAAATTGTTTTAATGTAATTATAAATAATTTATGCGAAAGGAGCAATTACAATATATTAACAAGAGAAAACTAACTATACTTGTTAGAATAGTAGTCGTTGTTTTGGATAAAAGTGATACCACAGGTACTACGATGCTGACAGTTATAAGTAGTATCAAAACGACAGGTAGAATCAGATAAAATAAGAAGGAACGTTTCGAGCAACGAAATTTTGAATTAGTAGGTTTTTTTTTCGTTGTTGAGACAGGATCAAGATTAATATTTTTCAGCAGTTCTGTTGAGTGAGCAATAGTATCAATGAAATTATCATCATTCAATGGCTTTATCTTTCACAAAGGGAAACAAAAAAAATTCATAAAATTTATTGTCGATTTAATAAATTTTACTTTCGATGGGGATGTAATTGATTGAAATGATAGAATACTTTTGATGTTCTATAAAGTAAATTGAAAGTTAAGTTAATATAGTTAGAATAATATGGCATTACTCGAGTTTTCTCCATTGATGAACGCATAACTTGCTGATGCAAATGGGAATCGCTGCTTGAATTTTCTTTGTTTAAAAGGCTGGATGATTGAGGCGGCCTTGCATATGTCGTTGGCATGGATGTTGACTGTCGTTCTTTATGTTTACTACTTGAAGCTTTCGAAAGATTGGCATAGTTTTCAGAAGACATTTTGAGATGCTCCATCTTTGAAACATCATTTCTGATCTTCTCGGTAGGTTTTGATGAGAGTGCGTGGATTTGAATTATACGAACACCTGTTGTATCTTTTTTCTTCTTCAACAAAAAACTAATAGATAATGAAGAAAATAATATGAGATAATATTTACATATTTATGATGTCGAGATTTTCGTCGCTTGGCTTTGGTCACACTTGCCATAAACGAAGATTGTATATTCATACAGGTTGTATTTCGTTTGAATGAAAGATACCAAATTTTTTTTCTGAATATCAGCAATATAATATGAATAAATCTTCGTATTCAAATGTAATAGACTGAAAAAAAATCGAACCTTTTATTATTGTATGACGCTTCGTAAGATTGACAGTAGCTTATTGAATAGTTTCACGGTTTCATCTTCTTTGAAGTGAAAGTTGCATATTCAACAGCATTATTTGTTCATTTTTTTGTTTTGAATAATGAAATTCTGATTGAATTTAGTTTTAAAAGAAACCAGAGAAAAGACATGCCATTGCTCACAGGCATTGTCTTCAAAAAAATATTATTATTAAAAGTACTTTATTTGTTTTAGATTCCCATAATAGAGTAGAGAAGAAGAAAAAAAAATTGATTTTATTTCACCGTCTTATTAATTGAGATCTATTGTTTTGCAAATTTTCTTTTTTTATGCTCTCTTTACAGCAGTGGACAGTTGAATCAATCGATGAAAGAATTGTTTCTGTTGAAGAAGAAATGGTTCATCTCACATGAAGTCATAAATAAAGGATATAAAATAAGTTCTGACTCCCCATTTTGCAATATTTTTTTCTCGCATGTTTTCACATTGCCCAAGATTAATATTTTCAGTGCACGTACTAGACGTCTAGATCTACTTTATGCTAGAAATTCAGCTCTCTATTTATTATTATTACAGAACTACAAGTATTACCAAAATCATAAGAATTTTTGAATTATTATTGAAATAATTATGGCTGAGGAAAATTATAATCATTTGATCATGTATTCACTACTAGTAGCTTTTGCTTTCTCAAATATAATTCTTGTGTTCTGTCATCTGTCAACACCGTGATGAATAAGAAAAAAAATGTACGATCTCTTTTCTCGCGTGATCGTAACGTGTAGAAATAACAGAACGTATACATGAATTCTATAGAAAGACAAGAGTGTGGGTGTGGGGAAGGATCTTTTCTTCACCAACCTCACACCCACACCCTCAAGTTTTGTCGTATATTTATTCATTAGATCTTCGTAAATCTATTCAGATACATTTGGAACAATGATTGTTGATACCTAAACATTCAGTGCTGTATAAGACATAAGAATAATAGTCGAAAGACAAAGAAGTAATAAGTAAACACGTGTCGAAGTAATGATCGTAGCTAAGGCAATCGGATTACGATGTATAATGGAATTGTTAGAAAGGTTCATTTGAGTTATTTTAGTTTTCATTATGCGCCAAATTGCATGCAATCGCTTCTTGACATTTACAGCTAGTATATAAATACAATATCCTCCAGATGACTCAATCACAGTAAAATATAACTTAGAAGCTGTTGCAGTCGTTCGATGGATGGAGTGATATCACGACTAAATAAGTAGAAGACAACTCGTTCATTAATTCTTCGATTGTCATTATCGGAGAAAGTCGTGTTTGATTATGGTCGAGAGGATATACAGTGATATTCAGAGGCAATGGAAACCATGTTTGAATCATACTGAAACATGCTGAATCGAAGAAACCTTCGAATATCGATTAAAGAAGACCGTCAATTGCATAATAACCAACTCGAAATTCAGTTGCATTGACTAAAAGTAAGCCAGATTATCTCACATTTCGTGGAATATCATAAGTGAAAAGATTGTAAAAACCTGTTGGCATATAACATGATATTGTTGAGCTACAAAAACAACTAATTCTAGCATATTGGAACATATCAGTCCAAGAGAATCCTGACATCATGTTGGGTGGATTATAATAGATTATGTTGATCATAGCAGTTGATAAAACAGTTTGTAATTGATTACTTTGAGTTATATTTCTGACTAGACATAATAAACGTTAAACATTACTCGCTGTTGATATTCTCAAAAATGAACTTTCGACTTGACTTCGTGTATTAAGCGATGCTTCTGAAAGAACCTGTGGGTTAAGTAAAGTATCTGATAGAAAATAGTCAATACCGTCATGTAACATTCGTTCAACAGACGAACACAGTGTAGTCAGTAATTGAAAATGACTAGTGGCTAATAAACGAAAATCGACTGATAGAAAGTAACTTGTATTTGAATTAAAAAACGATTGAATCCATTTGTCACGAGCATACATGCTTGAACATATCGAACGAAAGTATGATGAAATGGAAAGAAACGAACTGTATGAAATAGAAATTGGGTTACAATAACATTGGAATGTCGTCGGATATTTGTGAAAGAAATGTTCATACATATTCTGAGTGGAATTTTGAATAGTCACTGTTCGAGATTGTCGTTTGAATCAAGTATAACCAATCAGAATAGAAACAGACAATATGAGTAAAACAAGATAAATACGAGTGAAAATAATAGCTGTACAATGATGAAAAGTATTTAAATGAGAAGTTGTATTTTCAAATAAATTCAATTCAATAATCTTTTGTTTGCTATAGTTAGAGATAATACTGGTGAAAGGAAATACGAACGAACAATAGTAATAGCATAAGTTAATCAATACGTAAATTTCTAAAACGGTAGAGAAACTAGTTATCATGTGCTTGCAAATATTTTTCATTTGTAATGGATTCTTTGCCATGCATGATCACTAATTTAACTTAAAATAAAAGTAAGATAGAAACAAGAACAAAAAAATGATTTCATTTGTTTAAACAACTAGTTCACGTATCACCAAAAAGAACTTTGGAATAAAATGAAAGTCGGTTTTTTCTTTCCTTGGAGAAAAATGAGTTTATAGATCGTTCAATGTTGAACATTTTGTAATTATCTTTTCTCTTTCTTCACTAAGTTCTATTATGAACAGCATCTACACCGTTTATTTTTACGATGAATCATCGAAAATTAGTGTGGACTTAAGTGCACTAAGTAGAATTAACTTTCAGAGATTATATTCATGTTATCGGATGACTGGTTGATTAGACAATTTTTTTCATGTACATATTTAATGCATCAAAATTGCATAATCACAATTTGAATGAATCTGGTTTTCTAGTGATGATCGATTGAACAAATCTATGTTTTGTTGAAAGTTTTTGACAATTGATTTTCAGCTCAATACGATATCTATCGACAAATCATTCGGTCAATTCTCGATAATAGATGCCGATTTATTGCTCGACCTTTCTCATTAGTATTTTGAAAGATGTATCAGTTGTTAATTAATTCGATAAGACTTTAAGAAAGAACAATGCTCATCAAATATTTATTATGATTTTTATTTAAACTTGAAAGCTCAATGCTGGATAATTCAGCAATGATCTGAATATAGACTCATGTTTCAAGGTGTTGTTTAGAATCCGCTAAATTTTTCTCTTTGAAAGTAGATGAATGCATTACATTTCAAGTTGAACTAGTAAATGATTGTTATAGAGCAATTTTTCGATACTGAAACTTCAAGATCAGCAAGCCGTTTCTTCATTTAATATTTGTCTTTCTGAAGATTAACATATTTGAAAGAAAGAAATGTGTTGATCAATAAATAGACGATTATCACATAAAATTTTCAATAATATAAAATAAATAGTATGTTTTCTAACTAATGTATGTTTCATGTGACAATGAAAAAAATTGTACGAAAAGAAGGAGCGCAAACGAGTTATATCAATTATATATTGAAGAGAAAATGATATTGAATCTTTCACCGAATAAATTACTTCTTTACCATAGAAAAATCGCATACAGTTTTCGGTATTTCTCACCTTGAATAAATTCCATAATTCATGATATCATTAATAGATTTTACGGGCTGTTGCATATGCTTAAATGGCATCATTCGATAAATGCTGATCGTCGAAGTAAACTTCAGCAACTCGTAGATGATTGTAGAAGGTGACTATAGCTGTATAAGTATGAGGATTACGTTCGAGAATGTATGGGTGTGGATCTTTTATTAGCTACCCACACTCACACCTTGTTTTCTGTTACTCATTTAAAAGTTTCATTAGAGAGATTATCCATAAATAACATCCGGAAGTGAAAGGCGAGTCATATATATCTGGACTTCCAAACATTTCTTATGACTTTTTTTTGTTCCTTTTACGTATGTTTCGAAAAGTTCTCAAATAAGATCGGTCTTGAGCAACATTTTCAAAATAGTAACTTGTCGCAATTCTTCAGCCCGTCGTGTATGAAAGGTACATCAGTTGCTTAGATGTCAAAAATAAGTAGATAGTTTCCATAGTAGGACTTTCAACTATTATATCATATTATAGTGTTGCAAATTTATCGAGAGAAAGTGTAGAGGTGCCTATGGACGTACGACTATCTTCTGTTAGACTCACATCCCAACAAAGCTAAAACAATTTGTGTTTGTTCTAGTAAACCGGAATTTGTTGTTTTTAAAACAGTTAATTGAATAGATTTGATTAAATAATGTTATAGAAAAAATTTATTTGCCAAAAATAATCACAAATTACAAAGAAGCAAAAGAAACTACACCTATCATCAACTAATAATAGAAGGTAATGCAAATATTGTTTGTTTTTTGTATATATATCAAAAAATAAATCGATGTAACATAAGTTGTTTAAGTTTTGAAAATAGAAAAAAAAATGATAATGAGAATAATATAGGGTATGATTAGCATAATAGCTGACCGACAGACATATTTTAAACGAT